CCCCAAAACCCCAAAACCCCAAAACCCCAAAACCCCAAAACCCCAAGTCTTGTAAATCAGTTGAAACCCTGTGATTAATGATATTTTTATCGTGTTTATTCCCATGGCTTCAAAATGATCTTTCCTTGGCTAGCACATGCTTCTCTCTCCTCGATAGCTTTCTCAAATTCAGTCATTGGACAGGTAGAGACTACTTTAGTGCCAAATATCTTGCCGCCTTCATAAATATCTTTTGAGATAAGTTCATGGTATGACTGGATCTCCTCCTTAGTACAGAATTGGTTTATATCCAGAGCAAAAGCAGTCGTAAGAGTAGCTCTTCTCGATAGAAGATCTCTGTTGTTAAAAGCAAAAGTTCCTGTAGAGTCAAGATATCCATAGATATATACTGTGGAGAACAATGGCATTGACATTAAGATATCTTTTGTGGTGCTCCCTCCTACAGAATCAAACAAGGCTGTTGGTTGAAGCTCTTCGATAGCCTTTGCTAGGTCTTCTTTGAATGTATCACTGCTTGAGTTAAGAGTGTGAGTAGAGCCAAGATCTTCTAAAATTTTCACTTGTTCATCTTTTCTTACAATGTTGATTATTTTTACATCTTTTTCAAGTCAGAGTTTGTGGAACATCTTTCCTAAGCTTGATGAAGCTCCTGTCTGGATCACAGCTTTATAACTATGCTTTTTAATATAATACCAGAAGTTTCACACAGTGAGTGGATTTACGAAGCTACTACTGATTTGATCATAATCAGCATCATCAGGATAGATCATCAAATTATCTTTAAAAGTAATCAGATATTGTCTCCAAGATCCTTCATAGCCAGGAACAGAGACTATCTGGTTAACCGCGACTCTTTTCCCAAGAATACTCGCATCAACGTTCTCCCCAATCTTAACTACTTGGCCAGATCAATCAAATCCAATACCATGGCCTTCTGGAGACTCAGCTAGTTTGCCAAAATATCCTTCTGCGTTGAAGATGTCGCTTGGGTTGACTGGAACTGAATAAACCTTGACCAGCACTTCATTCTCTTGGAGTTCTCTCAAGATGTTGTCTGTCTTGAGCAGTGGCTTGGTCATGTCTGTTATTACAGAGGAATAGGTTGTTGCAGTATCTGCTTCCATTCTTTATATAATTTTTTGATTTTCAATATACGGATTCTGAATTGGGGTTTTGGGGTTTTGGGGTTTTGGGGTTTTGGGG